CCTTTGACATAAGAGATCAAAGGTATGCAAACCCATGGTGTCTTTGAACGCCTTTGACATAAAAGATCAAAGGTATGCAAAGCCGTGGTGTCTTTGAATGCCTTTAACGCGCGTCAAAACTTAAGTCAAAGTTATCAACATGTTTGGCCTCACCTTTGACAGGGATCAAATGTATAGCAAATCCATACGATATTTGATTCCTCCTTTGACGTGGGTCAAAGGTGGAGTCAAAGTTAACATCACATTTGCCCTCTTCTTTGTCATGGATCAAATGTATCGGCAAAGCCATGACAGTTTTGACACACATTTGACGCACGTCAAAGTTTGGATCAAAGCTATGATCATATTTGACCTCGACTTTGATCAGGATCAAATTTAGAGTAAATCCAATTTTTCGTGCCGTGTATGAACCCGCATTAAGTCATGCCCTTTATTTGTCACACATTGTTCGACCAATCTTGTCAATAGGTGTGGTCATGAATTAATTACATTCCCTTTCACATTGTAAATTAAGGGCAAAAAGGTTGAGGTTTTAGGTTCATATCACAGTTCTATGTATGTTAAACATATTCTGAAAATTTCAGAATCAAATGTTTCTTTGGCAAACAGATATAGCTGTTGGCATGCAGGCTATGAAACAAATGTTTTGAGGGCGTGACATGGTTGCCATGGTAACTATTTATGTTGTAATTGGTGTCAAACAATTTTACTTGTTAAACTTAATAGCATGGCATTAAAGATAACTTGTTAAAACATAAAGGAGAAGGTTACTCCAAAAACCCTGTATTTTTTTTCTGTCAGCATTAAAAAGTCCACATTGAGTTAAATTACTCACCGTTGTTTAAGCTTTTGAAGTAGACATGATCCCAATGAAAAAGAAGTGAAAAGCTCGACAACGGAAGCCGCAATTTTGAACAGTACCTTGAAGGCCAGGCTGCATATCCGTGGTGTCATTCTGTCCGAACTGGCACAAAGCTCAAAGGCTGAAGCTCTTCTTTTCTGTGTTTAACTCGTTTATTCAGTTGTGAACTAAAAATGCCATCGTGTTCGACCCGGGCTGTAAAACCCAAACCGGAAAGGATAGGGAAAGAGGAGTGACTTTCCTTAATTTGCCTGCAAAGAACAAAACATTGCCAAAGAAGTGGCTCGAACAGCCACGTCGGGGTGAGAGATTCATGTCAAAAAAACTTGAAAATGTGTATGCAAGCAACGAGCATTTCACAGACATTTGTTTTAAAACTGAATATCGATTTGAGCTTGTGGGTAGAAACACAAGGAGGTCATCGAAGAAAAATGCTTTCCCGACAATTTTTCAACAGAAGGCCCTTGTAAAGGTACGCATTGCAAGCCAATGGCACATCACAAGGAAGGAACAAAAAGAAGTGACTATCAGTTATACTTTTCATGTTTTAACAATATTTTTGTCCGGCAAACCTGTTGTTGACTCGATTTGGTAAACTTTATTTCTGCGCAAGAAATTGAAGCTCCTTGCTAGACTACAGGGCTCGAATTTCAAGAAAAAGCCATGGGTCCAGCTGTCCCCTAAGTTTCAGGATTTAATTGCCAGCACAAGTATTTTAGTTGCCACAAATTTTTGATCCTTCAGAAAAAGACGCTAAAACGGCGTGAATCACGCGTTTTTTCGTGTATAATAAGTTTGCTGGTTTTTTTCTAAAATAACCAGGAAAATGGCTAAATGAAATTCTTTTCTTCATTTATCAGTCTTACCAGTGTTTAAAAAAAGCTTCCATGTTGCAAGCTTTGCCGGATTCATTATTTTTCGTGGACTGGCGCTTAGCTTTTCGTGTTCATTGATGCATAGCGACTGCATGGGTTTTCTGGCAGTGAATTTGTTACGTTTCTTATGGCCTGTTTACAAGGAGGGAGGGTTACCCTAGCAAGCGGGCTAACCCCAGCTGAAGGGCAAAACATAGCCCGGGTTTACAAACAAAATTTCACATGTAGGGTAACCCTACAACGCGGGACAACTTAATGCGCGGTTACACTCAAAGGGTCTGGAAACAATAGAAGGTCAACCGGGTTAGGCGGGTTAACCATAACTGAAGTGTTTGCAACGGAAAAAGTTAACCCACCTGCCAAGCTAACCCTAGCACGCATATAGGGTAACCCACCTACCCGGGTAACCCTAGCTGCCTTGCAAACACAACGACGAAAAAAAAAAGAGGAAATGTGAAAATGCTAGGGTAACCCGCTTGCTAGGGTAACCCTTTTACTAGGGTAACCCTCTCTCCTTGTAAACAGGCCTAAAAGGAGAGAGAATTCTTCGAAGGCACGACATTTAAGTTGTAAATAAGCCCTTCAAGACTTTGCAACAAGTATTTCCTTCTGCCAAATTCAGACCATCTACTGAACATCAACCGGACATGATTTATAAAATACCCTGTGCCGATTGTGATTGGTTTTATGCCGGGTGAAACCGGCCGGTGTTTTGAAACTCGCAAAAAAAGTACATATCAGGAATGTCAAAACATGTGCTAATGGATCAAACATTGCGATACATGCATGGTCATTCGACCATCGCATAGATTTTGATAATTCTCATGTCATCGATAAAGACTCTTTTCGTATTAGAAAAACTTTGGGGGCGTACCTCAGCTTACCTCTTGGAGGCTTATCCAAATTCTGTGAGTAAAAATCCAGACTCGTGAGCTGGAAAGCATTCGCCCGATTAAAACACCTCATTGAAAACTCGTCAGTCTCTGTGATACCAGAACTCCCTCCGCATTGAACCACCATGGCCAGTAAAATAACAATGGAGACAAATCAGATCACAAGCACTAAACTGGGGATTTTGTTTAAGCCACCAGTTCAATTCTGAGAGCAATTTACAATTAAAAATAAATTTCCTTGTCCACTAAAGGCATCCATTGCAATTGCCGTGCAAAATGTACCTTTTGTCTTGGTGACCTACTTTAGTTCTTCTTGGCAACAAACACATTCTCTTTGCATCGGCATCTCTAACAAGTACACCAGAGATCATTTTCCAGCCGATCGTTCAATTCAACATGACTATTATTGTCCGCGGAATCAACAGTATGTTCTGGCTTCAATTAAGAGCAGCCATACTAAAGCTGAAAAAAACAAAAACAAAATACACTCTCGGACAGAATAAAACCGCGGATATGCTGCCTGGCCTTCAAGGTACTGTTGATCCCAATGAAAAAGTACCTTGAAGGTACTTTTTCATTGGGATTGCATCAACCTCAGAAGCTAAAACAACGGCGAATAACTAAATCAATGTGAACTTCTTATTGCTGATGAAAAAAATACACGAATTTTAGAGTGACCTTCTCCTTTAATACAAAAATGTCTATGTTTGAGGGTACCATTCAGCCTTAATATTGATTGGTATGATCACTCTAGTAGACGTTTGCTACCTTTGTTTGGGACAGCCAGAAGAAACCCTTACACCTCCCACCAACTTCCAGGTATCTGAATCTCACAGATTGGATATATATTAGAAATCATTTTGGGGGGGGGTAAAAGGGCCTTACTGAACATAGAAAATTAAGAATAACAATAATTGAAGTGAGAAATGCCCTCCAGAAATGATAGATAATGAATCAGCAAGATTTTCCATTTTAAGATCCCTAATGTTTAACTGTAGCAGCAGGTGGAAACAATATTAAAACTTGACAAAATTCTTTCAGCTTCTCATAATTCAGAAGATGATGTTAATTTACATGAATGATTGACAACACCACAATAATTAAATAATATTTCAACAGAGTTCCACATATTAAAGGACACATGTATAACTGCTAGCCCTTACCTGATCGCCCATCATCTTCACACATCTTGGCCCAGGAATGAAACAACTTGATCTGTTTGTCCTCAGTCAGCATAGCATTGAAAAGTGATGCAATCAAAGCATTCTCACGAAACTCTCCGGGAACACTGAAATAGTCTGAGTGCAAGGAGATCTCAACAGTGAACTCATAGTTTGCTCTGTCAGTCTCGAACAACTGGAATGCTCTAACATAGTCAGGCTCAATCCGTTTTGCGATCTTTTTCATCTTTGCCATAAAGTGCTGATGGAAACGTCCCTTGGCTTCAAGGTGAGCCATACAGAATTTTTCATCATCCTTGATACTGTCAGCATATTTTCTTAAAAGTGGGTGAATGTCATACATCACTCCTTTTGCTTCTTCATTAACCACAGAAATGATTGCATTTGTTACCAGTCCCTCCAGCTGAGCCAGCGCCTCTGTTGGGCTGAGGCCAAGGATCTCAGCAGCTGTGGAAGCAGAGAAAGGACCACAGAACAATGAAACTGATACAGCAGACACTTTCAAGCTATCAGTAGGAAGTGTATTGAACATTTCCATAATTACAGACAGCTGACCTTTATCCATCCCTTCTTCTTCAAAATTGAATGGCTTTTCTTTGGCATCGTCTCCCAATTTTGATTTCTTTAAAGTGACACTTTTCCCTTTCTCAACTCCAGCAATGAGATCATTGGGAGATTTTCTTTCTTGTCGCAAAATAGCAGCCAGACCTTTCAAAAGAAGTGGTATCCCTTTGGAAATACTAATTAATTCATTCTTTTGGTGGGCATTAACATTTACTATTCCCTTGCAAATCAGTATTTCCTCTGAAAAGGAACTTTCAAGAGACTTAACCTCAAAATTGTCTACTTTTTTGCAATCTTGCAATTGAGTCCTGGATGTCAGGAGCAGTTTTAAGGATGTTTTCTTGTCTTTCCCATCAAATTCTGAAAGCCTTCCTAGAAATTGCACAAAAGCTGTTTTCAAGTTCTTGCCTTCCTTCCCTTGTCCAGTGGTGAACTGTTCAACATTATCGAGTAGGAAGAGAACTGGCTGATTTAACACATGAATGCTCTCGTGAATTTTTGAAACAATAGAATTCTGATCAACGTAGCCGATGGGAACAGTTAGTCCAAGGGAACTCATCATGTTGAGATAAATAGCCTTCATATCTTTAGCTTCTCTTAGATCACAAACAAAACGCTTTCCTTGCCATTTGGAACAAACTTTCTTTGCTAGTGTTGTCTTTCCCACTCCAGCCGATCCAAACAAATTCACAACCAGCGACTGTCCTTTAGTTTCAAGCTTTTTCGTAATTTTCTTGATTTCATCTTGTCGCCCTGGCAATTCCTTCTCTGAATCAACTTCTTGTTCCCGAGAGTCCTTGAAGCTCTTGATCATTTCCTTGATCTGTTCTTTCTGTTTCGTCGATTTCGGGGCGACAAACTCTTCGATCAGCGTGAGTTTGCTGTCAGACACAAATCCATGCTTCAATAAAAGGTGCAAACATGACAGCAAGTCTTGACTATCGAGCGAGTTAAATTTGCCTCCATAATTCCTTTTCAGTGATTGCACAACATCTTCTGATTCTGTTGGGTTAAACTTGGAAGATATATTTGTAAAGAGTTCTTGAAACCCTAGCGGGCTTCCGATAACTGCCGCCATCTTTAATCGTACTGCTGACCGAAATACTGAGCCGTAAACCGGAAAAATAAACGTCACGTGAGCGGGTATGGAGAAAGAGTCACGCAAGCTCTGCACACGCACCGTTAGGCGATTGCAACCAGCTGCTTTTCAAGACTTAACACAGCAAACTTCCTCTTCCCATATGAGCGTATTAATACGCCCGAAAAGTAGCTTTATGACCTATATGGTCTGACAGACTGTAAACAAGACGGTTATCGGTTCGTTTAACAGTCCAAATCGGACGGACAAACCGTTTCAAAGTGTCATGTTGGAAAGTTTTCGGACCGTATTCGACAAAGAAAAAGAACCGAGTTAAGGGTCTGTCAAACCATACGCATCACGAGGCTGTTTGTACCGGGTTAAAAAACGAATATCAAAATGTGACAACAATGAATAATTTAATCTGTCGCAATGAAAGGAATGCAAAGAAGTATAATTTCCCTTTTCTTTGTTCTCGGATCGCTCGAATAACCAAAGATTTCTCGGAATCCGTGACCAGCTTCCCGGAATGCCGGAACGATAAAAGAGAGCTCTTGATCTCGGGACTTTGCATCATTTCTCAGGGGCACCCAACGGATCGTTTCGGCAAATTATCTGTTCGGAAGACCTTTAATCCTCTCTGATTTTCTAAAGCGAATTGTCACCTCGAACTTTCGTGATATAAGAAATTTAATGTCTGTTGTTTTCGGATTGTTAAAAATGTCGTTTTGGGTACCGGAAAAAGGTCATCTAAGAAAGGCGATAAGACCTAAGGTTTTTGGGAAAAGGACAAAAAAGCCCTAATCAATTCGCGAATACTCAAGTTCCCCTAGAATAACCGAACAGATAAAACTTTTTGTAGCGCAACCTAAAATTAACCAACAGAGTATTAAAAGAACTCCAGATAGCATAAAGCAGCGTTCAAAAGCATTCGAGAGAAAACGGTCTGGGTGCCCATGATTTCTGTTATTCAAATTAGCATATTTATGAATATTTGGTAACAGGACATTGTGAAATCCTGTTCCGTCCAAAGTGATAATTGTGCAAAGTCGCTCAGTCTTGTTAATAGAGGCAAAATTAAACAATATTTAATTAGCCTCTGTCAAAATATGGCAGATTATTAAGAGGGTCTTGGAGAAGACAACAATTATCCTTTTTAATTATGTTTAGTCTTCTAAACCACAATGTCACATCGCTCTTTAGAAATTTCTGACCACTTAAAAAATTAAGTTTTTAGATAAAAATTAAGTTTTTAGGACAACATTGTTCGTATGCAGACGTGTTGCTCATAACGCTTGAGTGGTTTATATATTCTGATTTGTGAAAATTCAACAATAGCCTTAGGATACAAAGAACAAACTTACTCAGTAGATCACAAAATATTCACACCCAAGGCCTCTTTCAAACGTCGTGCTATTGTCGTGACTACTGTCGTGACTACTTAGCACGACAGACCTTACCGTGCCGCGCGCTAGTAGCGCGACTTGGCTTCAAACGGCGTGCTCTTGTTGTGCCGATCTGAATTCATACCCCGCTGCATCAGCTGCCATTACTTTCGAGCATTTAAAATGGTCTTCAGCTAACCAAACTTCTCCGGATCTCCCTCGCGACTGTATTAAATTCGACGTTTTAAACCACTGCCGTTCTTTTGTCACGCCACTGTCGGGCCAAATTCATTTGAGTTCGGCACGACAGTGGCACGACGTTTGGAAGTGGCCTAAGAAATTCAGAACTGATGCACTGGTGAAAATCATTCTTTATGGCTTCCTACAAAGTTCCACAATGAATGCAGAGTCTAAATAAATACTGTCTACTCCGATATCTTCCACTTCGCTTTCGATCCAGCTGCCACCTCCTCCATTATTGCGAACTATTCTGCACAGTGCGCAGAATTTTCCACCTTCCTGCAAATTTCAATGAAGGGATAACAGCACGCCAAAGATAAAAATTTGCTTGTGCCCGTCATTTTCTTTCAAGAGCACTATACACCGAGGCAGGAGGTTTTTGTTAGATTTCAAAGACTTGAATCCGTAGACTTCGTGCCTTTCGTCGGGTTTGCCTTCTTCGCCAAAAACCACATGGACGGATCACATCATCCTGATACCTTGTCAGTACACGCATTAATTCGCACTTCCGCTCCTTGTCAACCAAGTATTCATACAATCCTTTATCTTCTCCTTTAAGCAAATGCGGTCGGTGACCCTTCTGTACTTGCGTTTAAAAGAAATCCTACCTTAGAAGGCGATCTTTTGGCCTGGCTTTGAATCTTTTCAAGCTCAATTTTCACATTTGCAATAGCTTTCAGCGAGGTTAAGGAGGGACTTTTCCACCTTGCATTCAAGATGCTTTAAAAAAGGTAACAGGATCTCCGAGCTTATGACGCACGGCTCGTAGTCTGACGATAGCTTGGTGGACATTCTGAAGTGACGATGTTATAGGGAACTGTAACTCTGTGGCCCTCGTGAACAGGTTTGACTGCATGAATACACTCGCTGTCAAATGCAGCTCGCTGAATTCTGTTCGTATTTCCAGAGTGCTGCGAAAAGTCGAAGACATGCTGCAAGCCATTATAGTTGACGAGCAACTCACCGTCTCTCAGGTGAACGAAGACAAATGACCAGAATTCCTATCATATCGTGACTAAACCATAGTTCAAAGCTCCCATTCCAGAGAGCCTTTCGAGGTTAAATGATTTTTACGGTCAAACAACTTTGAATCGATCTCCTTGATCTTCTGTACAGGTACGTCTTCGGTGAATTGCGAAAATAACAACAAATAATCCTAAAAAATAACTTCATTTCGATACAAAGAAATCCTGATTTCGCTCCAAGTCTTAGGGGAATTAAAACTTTAGACTTTGAACGTTTCGTTCCAATTTAAAATTGAATTAGAAAAAATACCTCTTATACTACGGGGTTTATAAGATAGCTTCTAGGTTTATTTCACTTTGTGAATAGTATCATTTAACTAAATAACATTCTACATATTTGCCTATGTTCCGGCAGAAACGACCCTAAGTGCTTACGTTTAAATTAACTTTTTGACTAGTTAAATTAATTTAATTAATACTATACTTCTTCATAAACATTTTTCGTATAGCAAAAATACGTTCTATTAATGTACACAATTTGTCGACGTAGAATAAAACCATATAATAATTTGATGTAACTTTACAAATATTGAAATAAATAAAATACAATAAAACAAAATATATTTTAATCTAATTTTGGACTGAACTTCGTAGGTGTTTAAAAATGTCTAAAATTGGCGCAAAATAGCTAATTGACGCGTCGGACTTGGACCTCTCCGATATTTGCCATTTTGGAAACGAGCGGAAATCAGGAGCGAGTCTCATGTCTCAGTCGTTTGTGGACAGTTACTATATGGAGAGACAAAAAATAAAAACAATTAATATATTGTTCCCAGTAACCTTCCCACAAGCGACTGCCAGATGAAGCTCGCCTCAGGTTTTTTTCTTTTCTTCTGGTTTCTGAAGTGGCGAATGCAAATTCAGTCAGTGTACTTCAAAGACGGTCTTGTAGGTAAGTGTCACGAACGATGACCCTACATGCAACAAGAATTTGAATAGAGAAAAAGCTAACCGATATATAAAGACGATTTGTTAGAGTGAGCGAACAAACATATCCTAAAGAAAGGTGAGGATAAAATGTCATTTCATGTTGTAAAGAAACTTAGTTGGGAAGGAGAATTAGAAAACGTTCCTCCAACCAAGGTACTTGAAATACAACCAATCAGAATACAGGAAGGACGTTACTCGACGGTATCATCCCCGACCGGCCCATGGTGCGCTGCGCGTGTGTCGCAATGATAGTGTTGGCCACTGTATTTCCAATGGCATGGTATAAAACAGTTATACAACGCTTTCCCGTAGTTTAATAACCTCTTACTAACCAACCGGGAGGGCCTTGCTGGGGAATATTGGCCTGAGATCTTCCCAGGTCCGTACAATATTTTCCACTACGATCAATATTTCCCACTACGACTCGAGTAAGTTAGGTTGGCACGTAATTTATCATTTCGTATTTACCGGCTTTCGAAAACTTGCAAAGAAAATACTAGTGACTCGTGGGATATACCACGGTATACCACGAGAAAGGGTTGCATACATGTAACTAGACTAATCAAGGCCTTTCCTTTCGAAATGCCTGACGTATCATCACAACCAACGTTAATAAAATAAATTACGATCTCTCTGACTGTGACATATTTTCTTTTGTTAAAAGGTCCAGTTCCCCCATGTTAAGCCAATTTACTCTGATTATCTACTATGTCAGTTAAACACATTTTCATCTGTCAACTGTTGCATTTTCTCTAATGTGAGAAGGTTAAGTTCTTTCATTATATGCCAGTTGATGATACTATAGCCCATGTCCGTTAAACACCACATGAATTCTCTGACGGTGGCCCGGGATCCATTGGACTCATGCCAACTCTTGAGTGCCATGCGACAACAATCCTCGTAATCACCTCTTTTTGTTTTAATGCTATCCTCCCTGACTTTCAACTTAATTGCAAGTTTTCTCCATAGACGACCAACTTTTTTAGCAACCAAAGAACGCAAACTTTCATCGGGCGAAGCGTTGACTAATGCTTGAGCTGAAAAGATTGAATCAAAATAAGAAGCAGGCAAAAAGTTAGTCTATGGTATCAATTCTAACATTAGCTTATTTTGCTCACGTAAGGCATAGGATTGCTTATAGTCCGGTAAACGTCGCATGTGAGGAAAGGCTCTGTAACAAAGGGAGAGAGAAAATTACATATTTGGATTAGAACAAAAGTGTATGAAGCCTGAGTTTATATAACTTCAATATTAGATGCCCCTTGCACCAGCATGGAAACGAGTTTTCGTAGGAGGCCTTCAAGTTAAAATTTGTTACATCCACACGTTCATTTTGGTGCAAATCAATCTCATTCTCAATTGAAGTTTCGCAACAGGTGTCGTTTTAAATCGAGGTAAATGCAACTCCGGGATTCCCTATTAATGGGTAGGGAAGAGAGTGAGTGACTAAGAGAAATGTTCAGCAACGATTCCTCATAGGAGAAAAGATCTTCAAATGATCTTTTCGATGTCACCATGGGTTCTTTTGATGGTGCTGAAACGTGCGAACTGGTCGGCTGCTACGTATTATCCATTCTCACTGAAAAGTATGGCCAAAACATCGGTCTCTATCGCGACGATGGTCTAGCGGCCTTTAACAAAATGCCAGAAGAAATTGAAAAGTTCAAAAAAGAATTAAACTGTGCAAGATTTTCCGTGAAAATGACTTAAAGATAACGATAACGATAGAAGCAAACAAAACCATCGTAAATTTTCTAGACGTCACGCTTGACCTGCAGAGCGGCAACCACTATCCATACACTAAGGAAGGTAACGTCCCAATGTACGTGCACAAGAAATCCAATCATCCACCATCTATCCTGGAAAACATCACGGATTCCATCAACAAACGGTTTTCAGAAATATCTTCGGACCTAGAATGCTTTGACAACACACAAACTGTGTACCAAGAAGCCCTCAATAAAAGCGGTTACAATTATAACCTGTCTTACAAAGAGAGTGTCACAACGAGACACAGCTGTCACAGAGGAACCGCCCAAGAACCATTCTTTGGTGCAATCCACCTTTCAGCAAGAATGTCAAAACGAATGTAGGAAAGTGCTTCTTTCCTCTCATTGATCAACACTTCCCTAAATCAAACCC